TTTTTTTTAAATTAATGTGTATTTGAAAGTGGAGTTGGAAAGGACTTTGAAATTAGATTTGAAGCTATATTTGAATATAAATATGAAAACAGATTTGAATTGCAGGTAGAGTTAAAAATAGATTTGAAAACAGATTTGACAATACTTAGATTTCCATAATAGAGATTTCAGTATGGATATATTATTTCATGCAATCCTTTTGAGCCTAAGCATTTTGATTTGTATTTGATTTTTTGTTGGTTTTTGTTTTTTTTTTTTTTAGAGAAATCGCAGAGTTTACAATTTTTAAAGTTATGCAATCCTCCTAACATTTTGATTTTCGTTTTGAGGAATTTTCCATTCTTTTAATAAATTGCAACAAATTAAAATATTTAAAATTTACACATCTATAGCGCTTTGGGTGATCAAACAGTAAATCAGTCAGTCGATAAAACTAATATATTTATATTAAAGTATATTTAAAGTTGGCTACATGTAGTATACTTATGATATATAAACCCCCTGGTATTCCCATATAAACTGTCATGACTGCATACCCTATGCTTATCCACCTGCTAGGGTATATCTGCTAGGATATTTGCTGCTGTTGCTGTTGCTGCTGCTGTGTGCCACATTCTCACGCGTTGCGTTGAAATTACATGCATTTTTTTCTGTATGCGCTTTGGCAGTGCGACGCAGCTAGTTGGCCGCTAAATGGAGGGATTATGAGTGTTGTTAGCGGTTGGCGCATCACAAGGCAGCGCTCGCACTTTTTTGCTTCCTCATTTTTTCGCCGTTGTTGGCTCATTTTGACGGGCAGCTAGCTTGTGGGTGGGATGGTTAGCTGTTGTTGGCCATGGCTGGTGTAGTGTCCATTAGCCTGGCTTTTAAATAACTGACTGCAATTTGTTGTATGCCGTTTCTGATTTGTGTTCTGTGTGAGGGACCAGCCTATCATTAGCCATGTTGTGGTTGCGGTTAACACGTTGCGTCGATTTTTTGTTTGCTGCTGCCGCTGCAGCTTCTCTGTTTAGTTGTTCATAGATGTAGAAAATTAAAATAGAAGAGTCAATGATTGGTTATTATTTAAAAGCATTTTTTAATGTTGCTTTGATGTTTATTTCTATAAACAAAATATGGGCTTTCAGTATAGAAATATTGCCCAATAATACTTGTACATAATCCACACTTTGTTTTATGATGTAATTCTTTGCACATAACTATTACATATTTAGAGTATTTTAGTTTATGTTTGCATAGGCACCAACAGAGGGCAAACGAAAAGTGAAGAGAATAAAAGCAATCAAATGATTTAAATGTCTCGAATTGTTTCTCAATTTGGAGACATGCGGCCGAGGAACACAGACGGCATTGTGAATGTTCTTCTATGTTGTGCGCGGCAAAGTTACTCAAATTTTATGACTGTGAAATTTTACCATTGTTGGTAATTGATTTTTATGTTAAATCGTAAAAAGCAGCCAGCGCACAGAGGCCGGAGAGCATGAATTTTAGATAAAGCCAACAGCGGCCGGGTCGAGCAACGTGTTGCGGTGTCTCTTCTCTGGATGTTTGTGTCTCTCTCTCTGTGTGTGTGTGTGTGTGTGTGTGTGTGTGGTTGTGTGTGACTGTGAGGGCGTATGCGTAATTGCTTTCTTTTGTTTTTGATTATATCCAAGCACTCTAAACTGATGAGGATCTATGCAAAGCGGCAAGAAGTAATCTAAATTGATTAAGGATAGAATATAAACTAATATATAAAATGTAATTTCAATTTATGATTTTTTAATTTTATTCAACAATTTATATTATTATTTATTGTCATTCTACTTATTATTATTTACTTATAATTTATTTTCATAAATTTATAAATAATTTTTATAGTTATTATTTTTTAATGAAGACTATTTTTTAAAATACATATTTGTATTTAATTTAATTTTTTTTTTTATTATTATTGATTTATCATTGACGAATATCAATTGTCTTGATTTTTATAAATTCTGTTCAACTTGTTCTGATCGACTCGCACTCTTGCAGCTGTAATTGTGAGAGACTGAAAGCTTTTACATTGGTGTTGTAAAAATGGTTATCCTAGCTCATTGCTCATTCTTATTGCGAGAAAGAGAGCGCAAGCGGGACAACGATAGATGTCGCTAAACTATTTAAATTAGCATTACGCAATGGAAATTTAATTTCAATTATAATTAAGCTAATACTTAGCTCAATTGCTTAATCCAACAAGTGTATTTGCTTGTCGGCATCTTTCGCAGATAAACCGTTTCTCTTTCAAGTTGTTTTCTTTTTCTTGATATTTTCATTCCGCTCGAATTGCAGTTGGTAAATTTTTATTAAGCGGTAGCATTTTAAATTCAATTGTACGGCGACTTTTTACGCTTTTAATGAATTAAATTGAACTTTTTATGCGCCAAAGTTTGTTTATTTTTATGTTCGTGTTCCTTTTTTTTTTGTTTTTTTTTTTTTTGTTTTCACTTTAATGCCGCGACCTCACGGCGCCAAATATGATATTTTGTTAGCGCTTTGTGTTTGTCTTGCTGTTGATTAAATAATGCCAACAGTTTATAAATAATGCTTGAGCTTAGTGCTTCGGCGGTTTAAATGCAGATTTTCTTAAGTCCCGGCCAGCCTGTTCGACCGTAAGTCACGTAATTTGCGCAATGCCCCGCTATTTCCGTTGCCTACTAACGGCTCGGGGAGGGGGCGTGGCCAGCGCAACTTCACTCCGACGACTTTGTTAACACAAATCTTTCCGCTTGTTATGTGTTGGTTTCCGCTCAACTTTTGCACGTCTCTTAGGCGAGCACGCTGAAAAAAGTAAMGGAAAAGTGAAAGAGGGAAAATGCAAAAGTAAGGAAAATGAACCCAGCCGTCGCTCGCATTGACTGTTTCTAATATTTTCGTTTTGCTCTTTCGTCCCACCACGGGAGGAAAACTTTTTTTTTTTTTTTTTGTAAATCGTCTCGCGACATTTGGGGGAAAATTGAATAAAAAACGGTTGTCGCTTTCCTCGGTTTGGCTGGGTGCTGCAAATCCTTGCGACGCCCATTGAATGAATGTGTAATTGATACTGAAACCCAGTCAAAGGCATCCAATACATTTGCTGCCTCAAGGCATTACGTTTGCCCACTGACACGCCCAGTGCCGCCCACGTGCGGGACG